AGACTAGCAAAGGTAGTTTCTGATGTAGCTCAGTGGCAAAGCACTCGCCTAGCAAGTGTAATGTCCTGGGTTTGATCTCCAGTACCAAAAAAAAGACAAAAAAAATACAGTTTTATATATACATATACATATATATATATATATATATATATTTAACCCAAACTATAGGTAGTTCTTACGTGTAATTACCACTGTGCACAATTTTTGGTGAAACATCTTTGATGTCTTCATTTCTACACAATGACAATAATAGCTAACTCGGATCTTGAATATATATATATAAAAAAGGGTTTTTATTTTTGGTTTTTGTTTTTGTTTTTTGTCAGAGCAGGGGCCTGTTGCTCACACCTGTAATCTTCACTATTTAGGAGGCTGAGATCTGAGGATCATGGTTCAAGGCCAACCTGGACAAGAAAGTCTTGGGACTCTTTAATTTCCAATTAACCACCACAAAAGCTGGAAGTGGAGCTGTGGCTCAAGTGATAGTTCACCAGCCTTGAGGGAGGAAAAGCTCAGAGGGCTCAGGCCCCAGGACCAGCACAGGCGCAAAAAACTTCTTCCTCACAGTTGAGCCCCTGTCCCCCACTTCCCCTCCAGCCTGCTTTCCTCTCTCCTTCCTCCTCCTCTTCCCTTGGCTATCGTTCCTACATTCTCTTCCCCTCCTGTCTGTGCTGGTGCTTCCTAAACTCTGGGGTTTTTTTTCCCCTTTCTTTTCCTTTCCTGACGGAGCTCTTCTTATCCTGGGCTTCTCAGCGGCTACCGTGTCTCTCTGGCTAAACTTTCAATGCAAGAAATCCCATGTGTTTTCATCTGCTGACCAAACGAGCCATGGAGGGGACGTTTTTATTCTGAATGGAACGTGAGCTCGCTCTCAGACGAAGCCCTGTTTGGTGGGAATCATTTTTGATGGGTGTTGTGAGCGCCCTTGGGCCATGGATCCTCAACTGGCAAAAGGGGCGGAAGGCCTGGCAAAACCACAGCAAGTGTTGAGCCACCAACCTCCCCTTCTGCGCTCCTACCCAGCCCGGGACCCCGGCGGTGTGCCCTGCCCTCCCCGGTACAAGCGGCAGAATGCCGGTCTGCGTGGTTCACGCCGGGCCCCTTCTCAAGAACTCTGCTAACAACTAGCAGATGTCTAGCAAATCACTGTTGCGCCCCTACTTCCTATCGTCCCGCTCATTCTGCCTCCTAATCCTCAATAGCTTGCATAACTTGCTGGAATATTGTCACTTACTAGGGTTGTTAGTTGACAGCGGATGCACTAATAGAACTGCATGCTTTTGTGGTGAGAGAATGCTTTCTTCCCATTCATTCTACCCTCTGGTCTGTTCTGCTGTGACACCCTTAGCTGGTGTCACTTAACTGTCTTCCTAAAGGACTTTCGTAATTAACTCAAGAGGCAGCTAGTGGTGGCTCCGGAACAGTTTCTTTGTACTTTTCTGCATTAGATTCTAGTAAAAGCACACTGCATCCTTGGTAGCACACACAGAATATATCCTAAGAGCCAGATGAAGGGAAAGGAAGGGAGAGGCAGGTGACAAACCAAGGTCTAAATGCAGTGTAAGCCCGGCTACTTTGTCTTGTGCAAGAGGCTAATTTTCCCAGAGTTTTCCATTCCCCAGATAACAATTGGGTCTACACAAGTGTAACCACGAGCAGATGTAACACGGGTTAGAACTAAACTCTGCAGCTCTGTTTTGTGTCTGGTCAACAGTGAACGGCCCGCAGTAACATGAGAGCCCAGTGCCTTCGTGCAGCCCATAGCCAGGCAGACCAGCAGGGTGCAGCTCCAGTGCCCCTTCAGAGCCAATCCCAAACAAAGCCAGAGTCCGCAGTGCCGCCTCGAGGCTGTGGTTTGTGTGGTCCCCATGCCTCGAGGGCCTCGTGGGCCCAGCTGTGCTGACAGTGCCTGTGGTGCCTGAAAACGGCCCAGCATGGAAGCATCAGTATCACAGAAACTGGCAGCATGGAGAGGCAAGAGCAGGAGAGCCAGCAACACAATAGGGGGGGGGCAGCGAAAAATCAAGGTGTCTAATGGCCTTAGACAACGTGTAGCTTACTCTGGAGGGTGGGAAGGAAGACAGGTCGAAAAACCAGGGCAGAATGGGTGAAAGTGGAAAGTTTGAGACGAACCACTGTTGGCGCTGGTTTTGATTCAGTGACAGGGCTTTCAGACGTACGGGGCTAATGTACTTTGTTAATCTCCAGAAATGAGCCATATATGCAAATGTATTTTCTGCCGAAACCTTTTCTGTTGGAAAAGGAACTTGTTATTTATAGACTGTACTTGGGAAATATCACTGGCACTATTTCGCAATGAACACTGTATTGGTGAAAAGTTCCAGATATTCTTGTTGCTAAAATGGTTTCGATTTTTAAAGACATACTGTTAAGAGTGAACGTGAATCCGTTTCCAAGGGCCTGCGGCGCTGTGGAGTAGAACCAGGGCCTGGAGCTTGTAAAGCAAATTCTACCCCTGAACTCTGTTCCTACAACTCCACTGGGTGCTCTGTGTGTGTGTGTGTGTGTGTGTGTGTGTGTGTGTGTGTGATAGTCATGTCACTTGTGCTGTGACATGTTTTCATAGATTTCTGATATTAAAAGTCCTTTGCCCTTCTCAGATAAATCCAACCTGATTTATGGTAGCGTGTTCATTTACTGTTGATTTCTTTCCTTAAGTATTTTTTTTCTTGGATCTAAGTCAATATTGATAAATAGGACTGATATTTTTCTGTGTTTTGGTCTGATTTTCATATCACTCTTATGATACTTTGGGAAACAGGTCATTATATTTTTTTTACTCAGAAAGTTTGTATAATAAGAAAAGTATCTTTTCTGTGGAAATTCAGAAAAACTCCACTATGGGGTTACTATGGATAAATGTAAATAATTCCTTTTTTTAATGGCAGTGCTGGTTAGAATCCAGGCCTGTTCAGGACAGGGCAGTGCTCTGCCAGTGCAGTACATCCCTAGCCCTTTGGGCAGTAACTTTTTTTATATTTCCATTTTGAATTATTTCTTATATTTCTTGAATCACTGTTTACCATGATTCCATCTCAGGCAAATTAATCTGAGTAACTACTGAGTAACTCAGTAACTGTGGGAGTCTGACCTCAGATTTGACATAGTTGAATGAGAAGCCAGGACAGCCCTGTGTGGGGTGGTGGGTTTTGTTTGAGTGGAGAACATTATTACCTTAAGCCCAGACTTGGGCTCCCAGGGACCCCGAGGGAGGGAGGATATGAAGAGGGTTAGCAGTGGAGAATGAGGAGCGCAGCAAGCCTCAGAAAGGGGCTTTTTTCCTGTCCTGGGATTTTGGATTTTAGGTCTGTAGCCTGCCCTTCCTGGACTGGACGGTTGTGAGTGTGGCCCTGGCTGTAGGTGAGAGCGGGGACGGGCGGGAAGCGGGAGGAGAGGGAGGCTGCGGGAATCTCATTTTCTGTTGAAGCCAATTCTTGGAGATACAAGCTAGGAGCTTCCACAAAATCCTCACGTCCCTACAGTCTGCTTCTCTATGAATGTATTACAAAGAGAGCAAATGTCAGGGAGGGCTAGAGTGCCTTCATCTGAACCTGGAGTCCGTATTCTTTACAGGTTTCCAGTGGTGATTTCATTCAAACCTTTGTCTATGGGTATTGTTTTTCTTTTGCGTTCACCTGTCGGAACCCTTTTTGGTGGTTGCCTTAGGTGCTCAGAGCATGCCCCCCCCCGGCAGTGTCGTGTCTTGCGTGTGGTTTCTGACACGGTTTGGGTGTGCATGTGTCTTTCCCTTCCACAGACAAACAGAGTTTGTGCACATTGCTGTGGACAGCCAGAAAACCAAGCACACAGGCAGAAAGCCCTGACCAAGCGGGCTCCTCCAGCTCGCAGCCTCTCGTGTTAGCAAGAGCAACGAGGGGGCCCCTGTGTCCGCGGTCTCAGGTAGCAGAGTCATTTCTGTAAGTCCCAACTGTTCTAGAAGGCACAGAAATAGAGAACACACTACTGGAGTGCTGGTGTGGGAGGGCGGGGTGTCGGGGCTGCGTGCCAGGCTCCGGAGAAGGCCTTTGGCGGGGAGGCCGCTTCGTCTCTGTGGCAAGCTCTGTCCCCGAGCCTTTGGGAATCACTCACCCGCAGGCTGCTTCCCGGCCTGCCCGCCGCGACTCCTCTGTGAGTCTCACCATGTGGCTCACCACCTCTCCCACCAGCTAGCATGGAAGGAGATGAAGTTTTGTTTCAACACTGCAGTGTGTAACTTTTATTAAGTGTCTACCTTGAGTCAGGTGACTCACGCCTCTAATCCTAGCCATTCAGGAAGCAGAGAGTGGGAGACTTGTGATTTGAGGTCACCCTAGGGATTAAGGCAGTCAGACCGCGTCTTAGCCGCTCACTGGTCATGGTGGGGCATGCCTGTTGTTTCTAGCTACGTGGGGAAAACAAATAGGTGGATCACAGTCTAGGCTGGCTGGGACATAAACAGGAGAGAGCCTGTTTTATAAAGGGCTGGAGGCCTGACTCATATGCACAAGGCCCCAAGTTGAACCCCCAGTACCACTAAAAACCTTTCTTATTCTGTGTGTGTGTGTGTGGTTTAGGAAATGCAGCCCAGGGCCCTTCTGCAATGTTAATCAGGTATTCTATTACTGAACTATACTCACAGTGATCAGATCTTTGATGTTACTAACCCCTTTAAGATCTAGTTTTTCCTAAGTCTGCACAATAATGTAGGTATCGTTATTAATTTGACTTATAAGATGGATGAAATTTAAAAAAAAAAAGCTTTGCCTCATGTCAGTGACCCAAGTGGGAAGTTAATCTAATCCATGCTCCTTCCATGAAATAATTCTGAGAAGACTCTCCAGCCTTGCATGAGTTATCATGAGTCATTTGGGCAAATAATCGGGATGAAATCCAACAGAGAAAATAAATTTATTTGTGCATGTACATTCTGGCAGCCTGGGTTATCCAAGGATTCTGAATATTGCGTGTATATTGAAAATCTTGTTTCTTTTCCATTGTTCAGCTCTGAAAAAGACGCCAACTGCGAATCACAGATCAACAACAAGAAGGCCATTTTTTCCCCTCGAATAAGAATCACCTATTAACGGTAGGTAAATCAAAGTTATTATACTACATTTCTATTTAAAAGTATCTTCATTGGATTTTATGCTACAGTTTCTTAGGGGGCTTTTATTTTTTCCTGTCCTGACACTTTCTCTATGTAATTTGCTAATCAGCTGGAGTTCACGGAGTCATATTTGTCTAAGACAAAACAAAGATAGGAAAATGACCTAGACATGGAGAAATAACACACATCCTGAAAAAAATAAGTCTCGACTAAGTCTTGTGCATTCCTTTTGTTTTCGTACCCAAGGACTAACGGCAAGTACATTCCTTCAGGTTCTTGTGATAGTTAGAATGAAATTGATCAAAATGACTATGTCTGCCTGGTCTCTGTAGGCCATACATGCAGGATCTATGGCAGGAAGCGGCAGGTGAGTTTCACCGTATATAAGAGGAGTTCCATCCTGGAGGGGCATTGCTGGGGAAGCTTGTACCCACGCCGAAACTGCTGCTTCCTGAGACGCCATCTCAGAGGCCAGCTGGGGGCAAGGGCCCGGGAAGTCCACCGCTGAGAATGTAAACCTTTGGCCCCTGATCCCAGAGCTGTGTCACAGAGCTCCACTGTGTCCGGGAAAGGCAGGGAGACACCAGTCACTCTTTGACATGGTTTGGGGACTATTGAGCGCCGTCAGTAAGGAAAGTCACTCATTTTCCTAAAACCGCAGATAAAGAGATTCTGCAGCACTGAAAGAGGAATAACAGAAATGAATGCAGAGCGTGCATGAGTGTGCACAGATGTACACGCAGTACAAGCGCCCAGGGAGGGATCCTGCCCCATCCCCGAGAGGCAGGGCCGAGAAGCAGGGCCCTCCCGATGACAAAGCAGCTCCTGAGCTCTGTGGAACACTGGGAGATCAAAGCCAGACTGGTGGTTGTAAGGATATACTCAAGGGAGACCAGAGCTGGGACAACCTGACAACAGCACAGCCAACCAGTGGGGCACCAAGGGCACACACCTGGCATCCTGGCTACTCAGGAGGCTTAGATCTGAGAATGGCAGTTTGAAGCCAGCCCGGGCAAGAAAGTCCATGAGACTCTGTTCTCCAATAAACCACCAAAAGCCAGAAGTGGAGCTGTGGCTGGAGTAGTAGACCAGTAGTCTAAAGCTCAAAGATAGAGCCCAGGCCCAGAGTTCACAACTGACAAAAAGAAAAAAAGAAACAGTAACAAACTAACCAATATGATTGGATTATAATTTCCCAAGTGAAATGTATCTATAAAATTCAGACTGAGGCAAATGAATGAATGAGTAGATAAACAAAGGTAGGGAGGAGAAAAACTCTTCTTTCTCAGAAAACTTAATAAACAGAAGAGGAACTCAGAAAACAGAATTGTCGGAGACCCAGAGCCACGCACGCGGCAGGCAGAATCCGCCCATCAATACTGAAATTAGAGGGCGGAGGAAAGTAAGAGACTTCCAGGGTATTTCCCCCAATGTATCTTTGTTACAAAAGGGAAAAGAGGTAATTGTTCAGTGAAGAAACCTGGCAGACACCACCATGAAACCAGGCCACCAAGGTCAGCCTCCTGGTAACGACATGTTTGAAAAGGCACCGCTGGCCTCTGCTGGCATCCAGTGTGTGCCTCTGGGGCTAAGGGCCCCTTCTCTGCTGTCGCTGTAACTCTGCGATCAGCCGTGTCTCATTCCAGAGGGTTTTGTGGCGGTTGGGTATTTAGGCTGTGATGCTGGGGATAGCACCAGGGTCTGGTGGTGTCTTGATCACTGGTAAAGTCACGGGAGGTGTGGTCCCTCCCTTGCCCCTGGATATTTCCTGAGCCCTTGTCCTTTGCCTCCTGGTCCTGGAAGTTAAACCTGGGGCCCTGGACATGCTAAGTGGGTGCTGGACCTCTGAGCCACACGGCTCCCCTTGCCTTCTCTTCGCACATGCTGTTCTGCAGCCCCCTCTGTGCCCATCTGGCCTCCCTGCGACCATCAGCTATGTCCTATCCCAGCCTCTGGTCCAACCCCGGGGTGTGGGCAGGCACGTGGGGGTCAGGTGGAGCTCAGTGGTGGTGCATTTGCCTGGCACGTGGACCCCCACCCACGCTGGTGGGCGGCCAGCTCCGTCAGGCCCTGCTGCCGTGGGTCCCACCTTCTAGCAAAGATTTTAATTGGTGACCAATGGGATGCAGATGCTCAATCCACAACCGTGCAGGTGGTGGGATCCCACCGAGACCCCCGTCCACGGGCCGTTCCCCGGGGCGCGCTTTCCCCCAGAACTCAGTCAGTGGTCTTACATTTCCGTGGTGAGAGGGAAGGAGACAGTCATGGCGTGGGAGGCAGAAGCTGTGGGAAATTCCAGGAGGACAGGCAGGGCCGAGGGGACTCGGAGGCTTTCGGGGAAATGGATTTCAGCGGCCGGCGTGCTTACAATCCAATCTTAGAAACATTAGAAAGTTCAATGTTGGGAAAACCTAAAGGTATTAGAGTTAGAAAGACTCGCCTAGCTCGCTCAAGGCCTCAGAATCAACAAGAAAGGGGAAGGGAAGGAGAGGGCAGGACAGGGCAGGGCCGAGCTCTTCAAAGGGTGAGTATGGACTTCCACATCAGAAAATGAGTGTCACAAACCCCGTTGACTTGGCATAAGTAAACAATCCGTGTTTGGAATGTGACCCTGAATGTTTGGCGACTCTCCCGTGTGTTCGTCCGGGCTAGCATGTTGCGTGGCCCTGGTGTGCATGACTCTCCCGTGTGTTCGTCCGGGCTAGCGTGTTGCGTGGCCCGGGTGTGCATGCAAGGCAGGGGCGCAGGTCCACACAAGGCGATCATCTTCCCAGAGGCAGACGGCTGATGGGAACTCAGAGGCTGGCCGAGGCGTGGAGACATAGGGCTGTTGTTACTGGCTTGTACGACCGGTGAGCGTCTCCGGGCTGCTTCAAGGTGAACGAATGAATGACGTGGTACATGTTATCTTGTGTCTATGTTGCTTACAATACAAAGAAAAAGAATAATAGAAAAAGGACTGAGGTCTCTGGCAGCTTTAAATCTAGAGCTGAGTCTCCGACATCGCTGGTCAGCTAGCGTGCGCACTGCCCGGTGGCCTCACCAGGAAGGGACAGGGCAGGGGCGCAGCAGGGCGGGTGGCTGCCCGGGTCACCTGCAGGGTTAATTTGTAACTAAGACCAGTGACTCCGTAAAAGGAAGCAGAGCCACAGGAAACTCGTTCACGGATGGAAGGGAGGAAAGGGCTGAGATGAAAGAGCTCTGAACTTGCTTGATCCTGGTGGTTTTATGACAGGTGAATTACTAATAGGACACCCCATCTTTATCCTTTGTGTGCTCACGGGGGGGGGGGGCATCAGGCCCGCCTTCTGCTCCAAGCTCTCTTCCCTGTGCATTCACAAGGAAGCCTGGGCACAGATTTTACTTTAGAACTTGGGCTTCTGGGCTTGTTTTGGAGATGGGCCTCTTCCCCCCACCCCCCCACCCAACCCCAGGCCTTTGCAGACGCGGAGTTCCTGGGCCTTACACAAATCTCTTCTGAAATAGTTTTCTTACTAAAAAGTTGGGGAAGGGTGTTTAAGAAGGAGCGCAGCCACCCAGCTCCTCCCGCAGTTTCTCCCGGCCCTGGGTGAGCGGATGCCCTGGGTCCGGGCTGCTGGTGGGGCAGCGGGCAGCGCCACAGGGAGGCCTGGCCTCCGTTTCCCTGTTCTGGCCTGGCGGACACGGCGGTCCACATGTTCCTCTGTGTTGGTGACTTGCTCAGCCAGGCTTTAGGGGGTTCTACTCTTGTTTCCTAGCTGGAGATCGAATCCAGGCCCTCCTGCTTGCTAGGCAAATGTTCTTCCACTTGAGCCATGCCCTCAGGGCTTTGGTTTTATATTTTGTCTATAAGAGCGGGTCTTATTAACTTTCTCTGGCCTGGCCTTGAGCTTCACATCCCTCTCTGAGAGCCAGGTACCTGTGGCTCACACCTGTAATCCCAGCTATTCAGGAGGCTGAGATCTGAGGATCACAGTTCAAAATCAGCCTGGGTAGGAAAGTCTGTGTGAGATTCTTCTCTCCAACGAACCACCAGAAATGCCGAACTACAACTGTGGCTTAGGCTGTAGAGTGCTAAGCTTGCGTGGTAAAAGCTAAGGGACAGTGCCCAGGCCCTGAGTTCAAGACCTGGTACCATAACACACACAGCCCTTCTCTGCCTCCTCAGTTGCTGGAATGAGAGAGGTGCACCACCATACACAGCCAGGTTTGGATTTTGTATTTGTTTTCAGCTTGTTTGTTCTTTTACTGTTCTGTGCTGTGGATATCTTGAGGCAGCTCATTTGTTTACTTGTAAAAATTGTTTTCTTCAGATAAATCTCCAGCAGAGGAATTTGTTAGTGAAAGTGCTTGAGCAATTATATTACTCTTGCTTTATTAGTTTTTATGACACTGAATTGGCCTGGGGCTATATTAGTAGCAAATGAACTAAACATACAAAACAGCAATGTGTTTAAATGCCTTCTGTTAATTTAAAATGAATCCTTGGCTTGTGCCCATCTGTCTGTCTGTCTTTCTGTCTGTCCATCCATCTGTCTGTCTCTGTAGTAAGGGGAGGGAGGGGAACTTCATCCATCTGAGGATCAGTGAACACAGAACATGTGGGTGGCTTACTGCTATGAAGTTTTTAAAAGACAACTTTCTAGCAAGGAAGTTTCACATAATTCCCTGAGAGGATGCAAGTTTAAATAAAATATAAAAACAGATTATACTGCAGGGCACTCAGGACTCTTAAATCCTGTGTTGTTAATTAAGAGGAAGGAATAATGGCCTTTTAAAATATAGTTTTCTTTTTTTTTTTTAAAGTAGGTCTTAGCCAGACTCTGGTGGCTCACACCTGTCATCCTAGCTACTCAGGAGGCTGAGATCTGAGGGTCAAGGTTCAAAGCCAGCGCGGGCAGGAAAGGCTGTGAGACTCTTATCTCCAATAAACCCCCAGAAAACTGGAAGTGGTACCATAGCTCAAGTGGTAGAGGGATAGTCTTGAACTGAATTCCTGA